GCCGCAGCTCCACGGTGCGCCGGTCCACGTTGGGCGGCACGAAGAGCAGGCCTCGGTGGGCACAGAGGGTGCTGAGCGACTCGGACAGGTTCTGGCACACGCAGGGCAGCGGGCAGGCGGCTGCTCCACTGGCCAGCAGCAGCAGCAGGAGTGGCGGGGCCATGGTGAGCGCCCTGCGAGGAAGGGCCACAGCCCAGGCACAGGTGGGGCTGGGCAGGTGCCCACTTGTGCCCGAGGCGCGGTCCCTGTAGTCAGCTCCCAGGGCCTGGCCTGGAGAGGGGCTGGGTCAGAGGCCCCAGGGGACCCCCCAGGGATGAGGGGCAGCCAGGCGTGCAGCGGAGGTCACATTTCCCAAGTAGTCACGGGCAGGCCAGGCGCAGGGGACAAGGTGAGGCAGGAGGCAGGAAGCGGAGGTGGGCCGAGAGCAGGGAGGGTCCCGGAACTTCCTTTCTCGGGCGTCCCCTGGAATCGCCGGCCTCCTCCCCCTCTCCGCGCCATCCCCTTCCCCGGCCGGCGGGGAAGGCGTCCCCCCACCCCCAGCCCCCTCGCTGTGGCTCCCGCGCTGCGCGATCCGCGTTCCCCTCACCTGGTGTCGGACGCTCAGGGGGCGCGGGCCGGCCTCCCCGCGGGCCCGGCCGACCCCCGCCGACCCCAGGCCGCTCACTCGAGGGGGCGAGGACTAGGGCCGGTACAGACACTCGCGACGGACTGCCTGAACAAAGGGAGTAGATCTAAAGTAAAAGTTTTCTTACTTAACTGAAATCTTAATACCCCACAGTTGGTAAAATTTAAATCAGTTATAGAAAAGATTGATGTTGCGTATGAAGTATAATAGTAAGATAAACAGCATGATGCGAAGTCCATAGTACCACATACAGGATCGGTGTACTCAGATACATGGTGTAAGCGTAGACAAACTGAATCAGATGCTCTATACGTGCAGTGAAATGACGACATAATCTATAAATCAGCCATGCTCAAGACACTACGAAATGATCTGCATCCTAAAAGATGCATTAGACGACGTCGTAGGTATGCGTACAATTGGGACTACGACCGCGATCGTCATAACGATACAGTTAGAGTATAGTGATGAGGATTACTCAAGCAGTACGGAAGTAAGAAGCAGGTCGACATGCACTACTGACAGAATGCCAGAGTCCAGTCAGGAGCATAGTCTGCTTACTGCATGACCTGAGGACGCCTGCACGCTGAACGAAACGAATCAACTGACTGGTACGGACAGCACGTAGCGAAATGCAACTACGGGACAGGTCGTACAA